ATATATATATATATATATATATATATATAGCCATGTTCAGAATGTTTTGTTGTTGTTGTTGTTAGCACTAACTAGTGGCTGTTGGAATATTTCAGTGTTTTTGTTGCTTGTGTGAACAGACTTTTTTTTTTCAAATAGAGAAGGAATAGTTTGAAAAACAAAGAAAATCTCAGAGGACTTACCTTCATGAGCCAAGGCATTTCTGTAAGGGTAACTGTTCCCTTTGCAAGCCTGAGAGACCAAACTGCTGTCAGCGCAAAGCCCTGTGGTGTGAGGACGATCTACATACGCTGAATCGGTCTGTGCACACAAACAAAAAGACACGCATCACATGCCTTGTGTCCAACAGTTTGAAAACCATGAAACAACCAAAGGCTGAGGATAAGTTCAGGCTGCATATCCTGTTTAGATATGCAGCCTGAACATTTGTGAACAGGGGAAAGACGCAGGCTTCATCAATACTCACCACAAGTTGCACTCTGCCTCCTCTCTGAAGAGATGAGTTTATCTCTGGTAAGAAATGTTCACTGATAATAAAATGAAAAAAGTTTATCAATGTTTTTACCATTACATGTGTTTCACATCAGTTCAGTGCCTTCTCTCTAATACAAACTGTAGTCAAGTCCAACATAAAGATAGAGGGCCATTTCGCTTGTTCTCCTTAAACCACTGGAGTGTTGCTTCAGTGGTTCTATGAATACGTCCTCCCATCCCTGCAGATGAACTGCCCACCTCCATCAGCATTTCCTTTGTATTATTGATTGCTTCTCTGATTAATCCTCCTTAAGATCCTCCTGCCTGCACATGCAATACGGACCCGTTCAGTTGCGCGGGGAAACCTGGGATGTTCTCTGTCTGCTGGACCGGACTGCGGTCTGTGAGGGCAGCTGCTGTGGTCTTTATTACCATCAAGCTGCTGACTGGACCTGCTAATAAGACCTGCTAAGAATTTTAGCTTAACTTCTCTATGTACTATACATTTATTTATTTTTTTTATACTTTAATTTAATTTATTTACTTGACATTTATTTTGTATTTTACCAAGTGAAACGTTTGAAAACCAGTTCTCGTTTAGAAACATGGACTTTTAATGTTTCTATTTAATCTTCATAATTAGCACCAAAAAAAAAAACTTGGCACTTTGTGTCATTTTGAAGCAATTTTACTTACCAAATACATGATGTGATGTATAAAGTGTCTCACCTATTTGAGTGTCGGACAGCCTGAGCAGCTCCTCCACTTGGCCCACTCATTCGCTCCATTCTCTCTGCCTCTTGAAGACCTCGTTCAGCTTCACCAACTGCGCTCAAAATAAAGTCAAAGGCCACGACTTTAACCTTCTTGCTGGTTACAGTGTCACTTTCTTGAAAACAATGGTAACAAAAACAGAGCATACAGCCAGATTGACATATGGTGGGAAAATGTTTATAGATGCCAGGAGATTAACTTAAAACTGCAGCGAAAATGCTAAATTAACAGTTGCTTAAGAGAATGAAAACGTACAAGGCAACAAGTCAAGCGCTTCCTTTGTTTGTCATATTTCACTGTCACTACAGCTGACCAGGTTTCTCTGCAAAGGGACAGATCAGTGGTCAAACCCTTCAGTGGTTGTAACAGACTGTTTATGAAACGTGGAGGACTCCGATTCAAAGGGTTTTGAATTTACCAACAATTACGAGAGGACTTGTGGCTCTTTGGAAAGTTAAATCAAAGCAATGTTCTACAAGACTGTTGCAAAAAGAAATCTGAAAAGCTACTGATTTACGATGCAAATCCCACAATAAGGCTGCATTTCAAAGTAAACATTTACGCTGCAGTGACAGTAAAGCTGCTGCAGCTGGGTGTAAACTGATAATGAAACCTGACAGCTCAGCGCTGGAACTAATGATGCATTTATTTAAGCCATTTACTTGCTTTTCTGAGTTGTAAAACAAAAGAAAAGAGAAAAGCTTTACAGTTTTCATGGCTTAATTGAAAAGCTCAACTTAAAATGCAGAGTGATGGATGTTTCCCCTCGGGCAGCAAAGGCCAGGAAATAGCTCCATGTACTTCCTAAAGCTGAGAGAGACAGAGAAAGTATGTGCAGCCTAAATACCTCCAGTGAAATCTTTCTTAACAGCTGCTTTCTCTTATGCTGCGCTACTTAAAGCACTGAATGAGCCAAACAAAGGCTTTAAATTGTTTTTAAATGTGTCACTCATATCACAGGGATAGAAGAAAAGTTGCTAATGATAATTTATAATCACTGCATGGCCTCAGTCATTCATAATAAGTCCCATAAAAAACACATTCATGTTGTGCTCTGGCAACACAAAGAGTCCCCCCACCCCCCTTCCTATAAGTCCCAACTATAAGCTTCTTCCTGACCTCCTTCAACCTCTTAAATCCCCTTCTAGTACTCCTCCAGGACATCAATATGGGGCCAGCAGGAGTCACGCTTATTAAAGGGGTTCTTAAGCACATTAACTGATCCTGTCTACTGAAAAATTGAGATCTCTGTATTAGGGCTGAACGATTTTGGACAAATATTCTAATTGCGATTTTTTTTTTTTTTTTTTACCTCAATAATGCGATTATGTTTCAATGTCTTCTTCTCATGTAGTTTTCAACAAACACAAGCAATAAATCAATCTGTTTCAGTTGCAAAAAAACTCCACTGTTTTCAGCTCTGCTGCAACTCTTTCTGCATTTTTTGCATAGCTCCAGGATAGAAACTTAACTAAAATGTGTGCATGAGCACCACTTATCCATTGTGTTTACCAAAGCCGTAAACCCAGGCTTGGTCACTATATTAATGGGCATCATGTATTTTGCTATGAACTCCGTTATTGCTCGAGTTATTTCTGTGTGCTGTTTCGAATTATGTTCATACGGAGTAATACCTTTGAAAAAGTTCGGTCAGTGATCCCTGTCGACTGGTACTTTGTTTACTTAACGTTGAAGCACTGGTCGTTGGCATTCTAGCTATGCAACTATCGTAAATGACTTTTTTAGAGGTGTTTTTTTTAAGTGTTGATAAAAATTTGTGGTGTTACCTCTAGAGGTAGCAACAGCAACAAGGCAGGTTCTGCACAACACATGTTCTTGCGCAGCGTCTTCTTTTTATAGCCAAAATAATTCAGAATAACGGACGTGCTGCCCCTCTTTGGTACCAAACTTTCAGATGTGTCAGCTTCTGTCAAGCCTGACGCCATTGTGCAACTGGTTAAAGCGCAGTGTTGACTTCTTCCACTCCCTGCTCTGTTGTGCTCCACTCACTTGCAAGTCACGTAACCAGATTATTATTAAACCTTTATTTTACCAGGAAGAAATCCATTGAGATTATTAATCCGTTTTACAACCATGTCCTTGGAGATCACGTGACCAGTCAAACTGCAGCCTTTGCAATTAGAAAATCTTGTTTCATCCATATTGCAATATTATTGCAAATGCAATTAATTGTTCAGCCCTACTCTGTATTAGAAAGCTGACAGAGGTTTGGTCCCCAGCTAAGTAACGACAAACAAGAAGCAAAGTGAGCACAAGCTCAATGCAGAAACAACCACTAGGATAAGAAGTGACTCAAAACTAACTCCAACAGCAACCAGAGTCTAATGCCACAAATGACACTGAGCTGTTTAAGACTAACGTCCTAAGAGATATATGTTTGAATGTGCTTGGACATTCACATTTGATACCAACTGAAGCTACTCAAGAACACACTTATCCACTGAAAATATGATTAAAAACACTAAAATTCTGGAGTTGTTGTTGGTTCAAAGTTCTAAAAGTTAACAGTAGAAACAGATGGAAGTAAATATAGAAAACAGCCCTGCAGAAGGGACTACCATAAGAATCGGAGCGTATCAAATTGATTTTATCTCTTAGTTACGTATGGCACGATAACAAATTTTGCTGGTTGATTGTTTGTTTCAGAAATGATTGCGATAAATGATAATATTGTTTAAAATTTGACTATAGTTAGTAATTATTGTCAAATTTAAGACAAAATGTTGATTAATTTGTTTTGTGTGTAGTACCTTTTTTACCACCAGATAGCAGTATAAGACTGTTTGAACCCAAGGATGGATAGTGAGGGATCAAGAAGCATGTCTCGAAAGCGAAAAATGGGAGGGAGACCCCTTGACATGACATGGGCTGTCTCTCTTTCCTTTTTTCGGTTCTCAAAATGGCAGACACTCTGTGTATTTGAGCTCTTTAGCATAGTATTTTTCATACAAAGCTTTTAATAAAAAATCAGTAATCAAGTTCTCAGCTTCTTTTTGCAGAGAAAAACAACTTTTTACACTAAGGCACAGGTTTCAATCGTGAATTTTGAAGCTTCAACAGGACGGAGGTTTTTACTCTGAGGTCGGCCTTTTAGCTTAGCTCGTAGCTTAGCTTCTCATCTTAGCTGTTTTTAACGATCCAAAAACGTGATTTTGGACGGTTTAAATGGATTTTAAAAAGGAAAGAGAAGGGGAGGGGTCAGTGAAGAGCACCAGAGTTGAGCTTTTTGTCATCCAGTGTCTTCGGTAGAAAGAAAGAGACACAAAGCAACGATAAAGCGGATAAATGAAAACGAGGTCGATAATTTTCATTAATCGTGCGATTAATTGATGTTTATCGCGACAGGTCTACTCTCAGTGTAATGTTCCAGCAACAAAGTATAATTTGTTCTGAACCCATTACTTTTTAACCATTGTTTCTGTGAAGGGTCTCTTTGAAGGGCCTTTGACACTGAGTAGCAGTGAGCCATTAGGTAGCACCATTGGTACCTCAATTGGTTGAACCAGTGTAGTTAGAATAAAGCATGCTCCCTGACTCCCTGGACTCTTTGTCAAGAAAAGTAATTTTACAAATTGTATGGAATTTGTTTCACTTATGTATGATAAGACAAGAGCTGTCCAACCAAACTTGATCAATTTTAGTCTGAAAGGACAAGTACGTCCAGTGGCTGTGAGTTTTTATTTGTCCTGCGGTTGTATTTTACCTTAACCACAAATTACAACCTTGACTAAAAAAAATGTTTGTAAGCTCAACCATCCAGGAATTCAACACGAGGTTGGCTTGAAACACATCAATGAGGACTATTTATGGGACAGCTCTGGTTGGCATGCCGCAGACCGATGAAGTCTTTTGGATGAAAGACAGAACGTTTCTCCCTTAAAGAAACTTGTCCAGATGACACGATTTAACCTTTTTTGTGATACAACCTTGACTGTTCATTGTATTATTTGTGACAAAACTGAATAAAAACAGGACCAACGCCAGCTTTTATGGCCACCAAACCTCAGACATGGGAAATTTAAAATGGGAAATAATTCAGCTAACTAATTCTTAAGATTCTAGCTAGCACATTAGCATTTTAGCTGGAAATGTTTGCTGCAGTTTAGCTGACCGTTACACTCTTCAGAGGGTGACTTGTTTGCTGGTACTTTAGTGTGTTTTAAAGCACACCAAAAAAAACGTGTATTTTCTTGAGAATTGCATTACTGTTAAAACTACTGATCAAATATGTATTTGGCCAGGTTAAAAATACTCAGTTTAACATGCTTTGATGGTGTGTGTGTAATGTGTGCCTCACGCTGCATTAGCTGCTAAACTGTTAGTGATGTACGATCACCTGTTTCTATCGGAATTACCAAAATGTTAAATATAATCTAACTATACTTTTTCATCCAGAAATTATGAAAACATAAAATATAAAAGGCAGCACACCCAGAAAATTAGCTGAAAAAACATCACGTGACTGTAGAAAATAAGACAAAAATATTGCCTTAGCGCTGAATCTAATCAAATTTATAGCACTGCTAGAAAGTACAATGTTAGTGATAATTCTTATCAACATATTAAAATCTGTGCTTGCACTGTAACTCAAAAGTGTACCATGGTTGTGAAAAGCATGTAGATGTACGGTAGTTTTTTTTAATCACTTATAAGGAAATGTAGTGTTTCTGAGGTTCAGGGTTGAACATGGAGCTAAAAGCTGCGTTTAAAATATGAACTGCACACTTTAAGGTAATAAATTAGTAACAGATCTTACGTTTACGCATATAATTTAAAATACACACATAGTTATGAATGTTCAATGATGTTTCTGCCACCAAGTCACCCCGAATAATACAGTTTCAGATGACTGTGTCAAAAACCTATTAACAAAACTTCATTATATTTTTAGTTTAACTGAAACAAACTATTTTGTACTACTGTTACAAACTTTTGTAACAAGGTGAACACAAGAATTGCTAAAATGCCTCTGACCAGTATTGTCATTTTTATGACATTCATAAACTAGAAGACACATCAGAAGATGTCAGC